CGGCTCTGCTTGATAGTATACGATATCTCTTCCTATGTTGTTGCTCATCTTCCCAGAAAATCCCACTGAGCATAAAGCAAGTTCCTTTCGGTTCCTTCTCAAATCCGAGTTCCATCTCCAGCAACCATCGATCATGTTCAATTTCAAGCCATCAACTTTGGTTTTCTTAGCGAAACTCAGGTTTGGAACGAAGCTGGCAATGGCGATGAAAAGGCCCAAAACAAAGCACCAGATATTGGCATTGGGACATTCATGACAAGCCATCATATGTGTTTCAAACTTACAGATATAAAAGAAGGAGAATGGAGGGAGAGATTTTAATAGCCAGATTTAACATTCGGTAATTGCACCTAAGAGCATCTCCAAGGGAGATGTCAAATACCAAACATCAAATTTAAATTTGATGGTTGATGTGGCAATTTGACATCTTACATAGCTTTACACTCCACCCGATATGTCAAATTAAATTATTATTTTATTACATTTTAGTGTTGATTTATTTTTAATTAAAAAGAAAAGAAAAGAAAAGAAAAGAAAAAATAATAAAATATTCATTTGACATCTTGCTTTTGGGATGTCAAAAATAACATCTCAACCTCCAGCCTTCATTCCACATCAGCTTTGACACATCGGTTGGAGTGATGTGACATGATATTTCTAGCCGTTAAATGTTTATGTGGCACTTTTGACACATCGGTTGGAGATGCTCTAAGTTTGTTTAGTTGTTGAGGATCAGTCTTAATGGTTAGCTAGCTGTCACGAAATGGCTGTGCACGGAAAATATGAAAGTTTTGCAGTTTCACTTCTCCTCCTCAAGTTTAGCTCGTTATCTATCTATCTTCGTGCTTGTTTTTTTGTTAGCTATCTTTGTCTAGCATCCAAAAGAAGGGAGCGATGGACTGTTTAACTGTGTTTAGTGGTGGAGCAATGGAGTCCTATGATTTTCAACAACTACGTAGTTGCATACATCATATATGGTTAAATTTGTAGTGAAAATTCCCCACCCCCCCTCCACCATACAAGTCCGTTAATTAGTGCATTGGCTTAGAGAATGTGAAGGTGAAAATATCCCACATTGGAAAGTTAGAAAACCTTACAAGGGCTTATAAGGTGTTGGGCTACTCCCCCATTGCTTGGTTTTGCGGTTGAACCTCAACTTCCTTCAAGCATGAAGCGAGTTTAGTCCTGTCCAGTTATTTAGAGTTTGATTTCAGAGTTCATAATGAACGCGGTTTCTTCAAGAAAAAAATGAATGAAGATCTTTTAAAACATACAATTTGAAAACCGGTCAACTTTGAAAGCATAATCAAGACTAGATCTTTAGTACCCAAAAAAAAAAAAAAAAATTTCATTCATTCATTCACTTTCTGAAGACAGAACCCATTCACTTTCACTAGCAAACCCGGATTTCCATCATTGTATACCTATTCTGCTTCATTGAATCACTCATATGCTATGACATTTATTTGGTAGGTCACAACTCCATCGAGTCCACAACCGCTCCATGGTTTTCATGCTGAATCAGTGGATGACAGGCTTGAGGGGATAAGCTCTCATATTCGACCAGTCAACAGTAGAATCAAGATCTGCATCTAGTTCCCCAACAATGCTTCTGCAACAATTGGAGGATACATATAACTTTATAGGAAGTACAAAGAAATTTGTAAAATGTCTAATTCAATCCAATTCACTTCCCGCAACCAATGGGAAACTAATGTAAATAGAATAAAGTGTTGACACTTACATGTTGTCACCTCTGATTATATACAACCCCAACACAAGTTGCTGAACACCCTCCTGCCAGTCAGAAATAACAAGCAGTTACCACAGTGTCAGTGGGACAATAAAACGAGTATATGTTTTGTATATAGTACTTTGGCAACAATACCCCCATGAGCAGGGTGTCAGGCAGTAGAGAGGAAACACAGTAGCACCAATTAAAACTTACTGAATGTCCTGAGGAAAATAACAAATGTTACAGTGAAGATGCAAACCTTCGTAGAGAAAACACGTTCATGAGATTCATCGAGAATGATATTCGTAGCTTGGTCAAAGCCTTTCAAGACTCCCTGAATTAGAAACAACAAAAAAAAGTCAATAAAACTAATTCGATCAATAAGTAAAAGGTGCATTAGAGTATTAGTGTATAATATACCACAATATTCCGTCCATCATTTGTGATAACTGAAATTGTTTCTGCACATAGAAATGCTTTAAACAGTTAGAGAGAGAGAGATCTGAAATGCTCACAGCATAATGCCTAGGCTCATGCCCTGCCTTAAATGGGGTAAAAACTTTGGGTATAGGATACAAAAACTAAATTCAGGCATAGTAATCAACAACATTGATATTTGATAGAAGTAATAATGGATAGTCGAGAATTTCCATACGATCAACAAGTGACTCAAGACCAGGGCCACTGGACATATTTCAATTCTGAATCTTCTCTGCAGTACTGTTAATGAACAAACTTTTCTGCGAGAGAGAGAGAGAGAGAGAGAGAGAGATTCAGAATGAATAATACCCATCTAAAGGAAACGAAATACATGACAACACTAAAAATAATCTTCTTCTATTACAATATTTAGGTGTTGGGGGTGCATGAGGAGATATTCATTCTAAAGTATTGAATTTATACCGAATAATACCAATTCAAACACTCATCAATAGTTTAAGCTATATAACTCTTGACCGACTAGAACATACAGAGTTTTGGAAAGCAAACGTAATTTATGCAATATTCCCTGGAAACATACAAGGTATATGAAGGTCTATTATTCCTGTAATTCCCAAAGATCCATATGATATAACATATGTGAAGGCCAAACACATGAGGCCTAACACCTCCAATCCCAACATGCCCCTAGGAAGTTTATCTAAGGTCAGTTCTAGTTATGGGACCCAGGGGCGGAGCCAGAATTGTCTGGCAGGGTGGTTTGCTTATTGCCCTACTTTAACACTACTACAAAAATCGCAATGGACGACGGTGATAAAGTACATATGCAAAAATTGGATCAAGCTCCAACTCTCATGATAAAGTACATATGCAAAGCAAAATGCACACCAAGGAAATCAGCAGTTGAGTAGACAAGGAGGGAACCAAAAGAAGCTCCAAATAGGGAACTGCTAACCCGCATCAAAATAATGTAATTTGTGATTGTTGATAAATGCTTGGTGAACTTTGGGAGACAGACCGCAAGTTTGCAAATGCAACAGGAGCAAATTGAGTAAGATTCAAAATATAACAACTTGATCGTATTAAATTAATGAGCATCAAAACAATAGAAAAAACAAACCACTACAAGTGAAGCACTGTCATACCCAAATAGCAAACCTCCAAAAGCTGGAAACAGAAAGCTAGAATTCCAAGAATTTAGTTATTAAGACAGTTAGAGAAAGCAAGCAGGAACCAGAAAGAGAACATAAGAGAGTAATTCTTGGACAGCAACCATGGGGAAAATAACATTAAAAGACAAAAAAGAGAGTAGAAGAAATAAAATCTCAAAATTTTGAAACAGAACATATTACATATATGTCAGACATGCAATTTAGAACAGGTTGCGTCATTTACTTTAAGGATTTAATCCCTCAGAGACCACAATGCGACTCAAACACCCTCAAATTGTACCTCTGAAACAAACAATTAAACTAAGGACTGCACTGCACAAGAAGAATTAAATTAAGTAACTGCACGCATTTGAAATAAACGAACCTAAAATCCCCACAAATTAAACAAAAAACTTTCGAAAACGAGGTATATATTATTATTGAGAATATTATGTCGGGAACTTATGAATGGAAGACACACAATCCGCGAACACCCAATACAAATGTGCTGACAATCAGAAACCCACTTAGGCATCAAATCTTAAGTGAAAACCAACCTACTATCAAAATTTAAAGGAAATGGATAAATATCCTAGAAACGAATTCAAGCAACTCCTGTAGAAATCGAAACCAGAACCTTAACAATGAAGAGATAGTGCAGGGAAAAGAAAAAAAGCAATACCTGAAAAATCTGGTTACTTTGGCCTCAGAAAGCCAGGAATTAGAGTTGCGAAGGTTTGCGTTAATAAGTTCACAGTAAAAACTCCAAAGAATTGGGAATTTTGCTCTAAGAATACACTATTTAATGCGGACAGAGAAAAGAAGCGAGGGAGAGCGTTTCGTATTATGAGATTGGGTTGAGGACTTGAGTGGAGAGAGAGACACACGCCCACATAGGATAGCATAGAGAGCAAGGACAGAGGGATAGAGAAAGATCAGACGAGTTGAGAGATGTGACCTGGATAGCGCGAGGGAGATGGTGTTTCAGAGATGTGAGAGGGAGAGGGTTTTTTGCAAACGTTCGCGAGAAAGGAGTAAAACTATGATGTAACATGCTTCATACCCCTTTCTCTCTATCTCTATTGAGACTTGAGAGAGAGACATGGTTTTTTTGAAAAGGTGCGGGCCATCAGAACTTTAAACCTCCATTTTGAAAAGGTGCGGCCTGTTATAATCTTAATTTCTAATTTTCATGATTTTTTCCGTGCGTCATTTATTAAATTTCATTGTACAATGGAAATATCACTTTCCACAGCACAAAAGGAAGAAGAACTTCCCAACAAATCTATTTTATTACAATTGAAACTCATAGTACATGTTCAAGCTAGAATCACCTAGGTGGAAAACCTGGGAAACTCATATATGAAAGAAGAAATACTTTTCAAGAGCAAAACAAGCCTCAAATTTCTTGAATAAGGAACTGCTGAACATGCTAGTGTGGGATTGTGGGAGCAGTGGTGGATCCAGGATTCAAAAGCCAAGTAGGCGAAATTTACCTTAAAAACTCGATAGTACGAGTGAATTTTATTCATAAAAATAAAAAGATACACCTAGTAAGGGGGGACGTAATGAGCCTTACCTTCAAATATGCATATCTATACATAAATAAAAGCTTAACAAAAGCATTGTACTAGATGATGACCCATCATTCTTTTTCTTAAAAAAAGAGAACAAATTCTTTGTTTTCTTAGGGTTCCGATTGTGATCCGACATAATAAAAGATAACATATTTAATCAAACATCACAACCAAAAATCAAACAAATTCTCAATATGTGATCCAAAGAAAACTGAGATTACGAAACAAATCATGAAAACTTCAACGACTAAGCGCATATGCCTCTGAATATTTTGGAGGTTTGATCCTCTCAATATGTGTAAATTATCATCAAATTATAACATTACAAGATTTATATCTAATAAATTATTGGAAAATGAAAAGGAATAAATATTTTTAATTTAAATTATAATTATTTTGTCAGATCATGTTCCTCTCTTTGCTTGGCACAGTTTCTGTTTGTGCCTAATAAATCACGGTAATAAACTGGCCGAAGGGACTTCCTCTCGGCCCTAGCACCTATTCTTGAACTAAAACGTGGCGGTTCGTTAGGCATTTTGCCTTCCTAAAAAACAAAAGAAAAGCTGCGAAGGCGGAATCCTCTCGGCCTCGCAACGGCCGAGGTCGAAGGGCGTAAGAGACACGGCCGAAGATATCAAGGTTAAATCGCCACGTGGCAACAAGGTCCCACACTTCATTTAATAAAGTAACGCCTCTGACTGTTGCAGCAAACCCACTAGCCGCAAAAAGGCATTTAATGCACGAGGGAAGAAAGGAAGTGACTAAAGTCAGGGTTTGGTGAAAGAAATCAGGGTGGTTAGGCGCAAACATTCTTACAGCTTGAGAGATTAGGTCACTAGCTATCAGAGCATTAAATGCGTCTCCACGGCCAAGGGTGCAGAACCCACGATAAGGGTGGCGGTCGAGATTTACCGGGATTTATGGGGTCACACCACCATGCTTCACGATCCCAAATGTCGATTGGACTACCCACTTGCTCTGATCAAGCTCCACCATGCGGATTTTCAGCCTCGATTACTCCTCCAGAGCTCTTCCTATAAATACCAAGCTCGAACTACATTCAAATGGTTCAAACACCAAACCAAAAGCCTCCCACTGAGCGAATTACATTTTCCTGTAATGCACTTTCAATATCTTTACTTGCTTTCCTAGGAGTAGTGATAGATTGTAAGGAAACTCTATTCATCAATATATCATACGACCCTCGATTTTTCGAGGCGCCGGAGCACCATCTCTGTTACTCACACATCCACCCCATATATCATACGACTGTCGCTCTCTGAGCAACACGCCGGAGCACCGCCCAAAACCCACCACCAACGCCACCACCAAACGGCCTTGTAGCTCAGGCCGTGAACCTGACGGCCGAGATCAGTTTCTCTCTCGGCCACAATCGTTTGATTAGAAGTCGAACTCAAACAGGCGCACCACTTAAACCATTTTATCCAAACACATTAGCCCCTCGACGCACGGTAGACCGTGCTGGCACGTCCGCGCATAACCGCACCGCATCCAAAAGAAGGACGTCACGTGTTGACGCATATTCCCTCGGCCCGAAGCACCAGGCTGTGAGATTTGCACAGCCAACAGTTTCCTGCTGGAAACATGGGGAATGTGAATGGCCAAATCGTGTTGCACAATTATTAAAGATTCCCCATCTCCGGAGACTCATTTTGCAAGACCAAGAGTAAAGTCTTAAAATGAAACTGGAGTTGCTCTGTAGTTTATGTTTTTGTTTCAGCATAACAAAAGCTAACTCCAAGGATCAAATATATTGAAAAACTTAAGCTGATTCTGATTTGTTATTTTACCTATTAATAAACAAAAACGTGTACTTGAGTTAAGATAATCTTCTAGTTCTGAGATCCAGTCAAGCATTTTTAACTCTTTTTGTTTTTTTGAAGTATAATATAAGTGGGCATGGCCCATGGGGTTGGAGTGGAGAATGTCGGCTGGGCTGGAGCATTTGAGTTGATATTGCTTTTATTGTTTTTGTTAAATGAGAAAGTTTGAGTGGGTTGGGCTATTGTTTTTGTTAAGGGAAAACATTTGAGTGGGTTGGGGTTGAGTAGACAGAAGAGATATAATTGTATTAAGTATTGGGTGATATTTGGTTTGGCAAAAAATGGAGTAGGCGGCTGCCTACCCTGCCCTTAGGGTAGGACCGCCCCTATGTGGGAGTGACTGCTATGTCCTACTGCGGGCCAAAAGAGGGATAGTTGAAGAATGAAGAAGAACCCGAAAAACCTAAAGCTTAATAATATGTCTAGGTTCATGCTTCGGGCTGCTCCGACACAGAAAGAACACTGCGGGTTGCTGGGCTGCTGGAGAATGGAATCTAATGAAGACAATTCAACGGCTGAAATTAGAAATATGTAATCAATCATTAGCTTGGTATTTGACATCTCCCTTGGAGATGCTCTTATATACTTATTGGAGAATTCCCCATAATCAAGGTATTAAATATCGATAATATCCCCGATATTATCCAGATAATATCTGATTTTTGGGGGTCCGATATTTTAACAACTAACTATAGTGTTATCATCAATATATCGATATTATCCCGATATTATCCCGATAATATCGGGAAGATATTTTCAACATTTTTATGAATGATTTGGGCAATATATCGAGATATTATCGATAATATCCCGATAATATCCCGATACGAAACCCAAAAATATTTATATACATGGTATTTGTGAAAACCATTTTACTCCTTCAACACCTTAACCACCATATCACTTATGTTTTTGTGAAAATACTAAAATATTTATATATATACATGATTTTGTTTTGAATTCTTTTTGCAAGAAACAAATTTTCACATGAGATGAGTAGTAACTATGGTTATACTCATAACCAACCATTTCCCTACCCTTCATATCCCATTCCTGTTGGGATGGAATCAAGCGACTCATGGAAAGAATCCGAGACTCAATCTTCAAATGATTTTGCTTATGGACAACGTCAACCAATCTCGGATCCATATGGGTGGCATGTTAACAATTACATGCAAAACTATTTTGGGGATTTATCATTTGATGACTACTCTTCAAAATATACTTACTCTACACATAGAGATAATGAAGATAGTGAAAATTTTGAACCTCATAGAAACTCTATGTGGTACTAAGTCATTCATGTATCTTACCATGCAATGTATAAAGTGTAAAATACTGAAGTAATTCATTATATTTAAATGATTATGGTGTGTTTAATCTTCTTTCATTAATTACTACATATTTTCTACACTTACGGTGTTTGCCAGCTCGCTATATAATCAACTTAAATCAGTTAAATCCATCATGCAATGCATTTCCTTCCAATTTTTTGTGATAAACTAATAGATAATTGACTAAATAAACATCCTGCAAAGTTTCAATAAAAATTTCCAAGTTTTTCTTACAATTTCCGTGGTTTTTATTCAATTTTTTTTCGATACTGATAATATCCCGATATTTCCGTGTTTTTTGACTTCCGATATTTCAGATACCTCCGATATTTAAGACCTTGCCCATAATCATAGTATGACAACATTGTCCAAAAAACACGGACCCACCGACAAGATAACCTACCGGCTACAACCGAGCTGTAATTAGAATATTGACAACTTGGTGTTGGGGCAACGACACTGCATTTCTCCCCACGGCCTTTGACATAATTCCTTGCTCCTCACGAAGTTTAATATAAAACAAGAATGAGAATTTCAACTATATACAAATAATATACCTTTCATTGAAATTGAACTTGAATAATATACTGCCTTGCCTGCCAGTGGCAGTGCCTACAAATTAATCCTTGAGAAAATGGGGACTAAAAAACTAAACTAGTCTAAAAGCTGTCACTTTGTTTAAAAAATATGCCGGGACATTAAAAATGAAAGGATTCTTTGTTGTAATCTATCTGTAATACGTTTCAGGCGGATATTTGCAACCCCCTTTGCACACTTCGTCAAACTGTCATAAAATTAATAAATTAAAAAATATTGTGAGACGTGCCCAGAGCTAGAGTAGAGTAGTAGAGATTCAAGTTTAATTTAATCTTTCCTCCCCCAAAACCTATGTCTTACTTACCTGCTGCTTCTTGCCATTAATCCCATATATGATCCATCCATCATCATGAATTTGCCCAAATACATTTTAGTACTACTAGTTGTTATGATGTTGATTTTTTTGAATCCATTATCAACCATGAATTTCGTTGCATCGGTATCTTCCGAAATTGATGAATACTACCCAGAAGAAAGAGAAGCACTATTGAAGCTGAGAGATTCTCTAAGCTCAAACTCAGATTTGCACGGGAATTGGACTGGTCCTCCATGTATCAATAACAGCAGCAGATGGGCTGGCATTGCTTGTTCAAATTGGCATGTTGTTCACATTGTCCTGCAAGGAATTCAGCTAGCAGGTTCCCTTCCACCTTGTGCATTTCTACATAACATAACTTTCTTGAGCAAACTTAGCCTTAGAAACAACACACTCTCCGGCCCTCTTCCAAACCTCACAAATCTTGTCTACTTGGAATATG